GAGAACGATAATTGTTTGAAAGGAAAGAAGGAGTCCAACAGCCCGTCTTCCAGCTTCCATTGTCCGTGACCAGAACGCATGTCCTGAGAGTGCCAACCCACTAGATCCGGCTTCCAGCCTTTTTTCCTTCCTGCGCCCTTTCGATAAAACATTGAAACGGGTGAAAATCGAATGAAAGCTGTGTTCCACTCGATTTGAATCCGTTTCGACGTTTGACTACGCGTCAGGAATATGCTCAGTGTACAATAATGACGTGAAGAGGTTGCAAACAATTTTGCTACTGTGATTAAAAAGAAAACGATCTAAACGGAGACGTTTTTGGGTGCATCCAATATTTAAAGAAAGAGACGTTTATGGCGAGTACCACCATCTGTTAGATCAAATTCTAAGTGAAAGAGAGAAATGTCTTCCTTACATTCGAATGGAGCCAGAGACGTTCTTCTTGAAATGGTTGGACCACACATAACAGAGAACAACAAGGAAGAGAAAAAGTCAGTGGTGTTATTGGGAGAAGGCTTGATGGGAAAGGAAGGAATAACGCGGCCTGTCTGTATTTAAAACGGTGACCCTGTGACATACTCCTTGTCTGCCAGATACAAGGCGGGTAGATTTTAGTGCTGCGCTAAAATGTTTCGTTTCGATAAAAAGCTGTATTCACCTCCGGATCTGAAACGGAAGACGAAACGGATGCAGTAGGCCACTAATGTTTAGTTAAAGAGCCGATCTATTGCCTTCCGATGACAGATCAAGGGTCAACTGCCTGACACGAACTGAAAACAGATCTAGTGGGAGGGCACTCTTAGTGAGTTACTGAGTTAGGGAACAGTCCATAGGTTGATCCTCACATAACTGTACACAGCTTTCGTGGCACTTCGCTACCTCAGAATTACAAAGTTCTATCTGCTCAATACCTAGTTTTGAGATATATGAGTTTCACATCACGTAAAGCTTTTTCGAATTCAATTATTTGAACATCTTGATAATGACTCAGAATAATCTTACGATTTTGATAGAGCAGATAAAGCATTTGATTTCTCATCTCATGGTCAAACTAACTCAAAATGGCCCAAAATGTCAGACAGAACTTTGAAATTCTGAGGAAACGACTGGGCAGAGGCCAAGGCCCGAAAACTGATTGATAAACGACGACAACAGCGGTGACAACAATATCAGAACAAACAAAAACAGCGACAGTAACAACAACAGCAGCAGCAGCAGCAGCAGCAGCAGCAGCAGCAACAGCAGTAAATCCAACGACAATGACAAGAAAAGAAACAACAGCACTAACAACACAAACAACCATGACAACAATAACAGTGCAGTAACTAATACACCAGTAACAGTAAAAAACAGAATCATCAGCAAAACACGAGTAACAATAACAGCAGAAACATCAATTACAATAACAGCTACAATATTAAAAAACACAACAACAACAGCATCAACGGCAATTGCAATAGCAACAGCAACAATAATCATAACCTCAGCAACAGCCATTACAACAATAGTAACAGCAACAGCTATAAACAACAACATAAAACAGCATAGCAACAGCATAACAACAACAGCTTAAAACAGCATAGCAATAGCATAACAACAGCAGCAATGCTACCAACACCACCACCACCACCACCACCAATAACAACAACAACAACACAAACAACAACAACAACAAAAACAACAGCAACAAAAACAACATTATAATAAAATACTCACAGTTGCCCACCCGGAAAGGTGGTACTCCAAGTCTCATGATAGCCACAATGCCCACGATAAGGATCGGCCATAGTATCTCCAGCACCAGGACTCCCTACAAAAACGAAAGGGGGGAAAAAGCACTGTAGTGTTTCACAAAAATTACACACTCGTCTTATTCTTTAAGATAAGATAAGATAAGATAAGATAAGATAAGATAAGATAAGATAAGATAAGATAAGATAAGATAAGAAAAGAAGATAAGATAAGATAAGAAGATAAGATCAGATGAGAGGAGATGAGAGGAGATGAGAGGAGATGAGAGGAGAGGAGAGTTGACGAGAGGAGAGGAGAGCAGAGGAGAGGAGAAGGGATGAGATAAGATAAGACACATTTTCATTGTCCAGACGCAGGCTTTTCCGAGGGCTCTCGTGGCCTAGAGGTTAAGGAGTTTGCCTCTCATTCAAAGGTCCCGGGTTCGAATCCAGGTAGCGACGGAAAAACACTAACCATAAAAAAGAAAAAGAAAACTTGTTCAAGTGTGTGAACAGTTTAATCCCTCTCACCTTCTGACTACCAGGGGTACTAAAGATAGGCTAGATCGTGGCGTGTAATACCAAACCAGTCTTATGTTACGCTGCAGACTGACTGGAGGCCAAGTTTGTCCCAGAACTGTTAATTATTGGTCCAACTGTACGTGGTATAGCCTCGTTTGTCAAATAACCATGGTCTTTGCTGTTGTTGTTAGCTTTTTTCTTTTTCCTTTGTTTGTTTGTTTGTTTGTTTGTTTGAATTATACATCTTTTTTTCAGTTTGCGCAAAGCACCGCCTTTTTTAATAAGTGCTTTACGGCGCTCGCACCTGCATAAGGTCATTCGAGCGCGCGGGACACATTAAACACTTTCAGTTTGGTAGGACATTCTGAATTTTGCCCTACCATAAGATCAGGGGTGTGCCTGAAGGACAGAAGTAAAAATGAGCCAAGGAGTAGCAGTAGAAAGGCTGCAGAAAGAGTCAGGAGCCCAGAGGAGGGGGCACAGGAGGTGAAGGGGTGGGGGCAGAAAGATGAGACGAAAGCAGACGACAGAACAGTGTTAGAGAGTAGGAAAGGAAGTGAACGGAGACAATTTTAGAGAAGAACATTTTTGGGTTACTACCCGGATTCGAACCCTGGACCTTTGAATGAAAGGCCAACACCTTAACCCCTAGGCCACGAGAGCTCCCAGTCGTAAAACTCCTAGTTTCTACATAATTTAAAAACAAAAATAAGCCTTTCTCCTTTCCTCTATGCACCCCCTATCGCCTTCAGGCAAATCTTCTCGTTCTTGGCCAAGTGCTGATTGTACAACATTTTCCAACTTATATAAAGGATAATGTAATACTGCTGGCAGCTGCAGCCTATTCAAAATTATAGTGCCAAATTCGGGGATACTAGGGAACAAAACGTCACGTTTGAAAAAAAAAAGATCTTTATACTGGACCACAGATCGTGCCTCGCTTGATGTTAACATGCCCTATCAAAATGTTCCTTTTTTCAGACAGTTCAAGCTCTCTGTTTATTCACCGAAGCATTTCGACATCTAGATGATTTTTCTTACCTACCGTGGATGAGCGCAGAGGGATAATGACGCCATTCAAGTTTTCAAAGATGGCAGAAATTTATTTTTGTTCGTTTTTTGTTCGTTTCTTTTTTTGTTGCGCCTCATATAATGTGAAATTCCTTGTTCCACAATCTCAGAGAAGCAACTCATCTAAAAAGCCAACTTTCAAGCGATTGCTAAAGGTTCATTTGTTTAATTAATGTGTTAACGTAATTGTTATCACTGATGTCCTGATGCAAATGTAATTCATGTATGGCTGAGAAAGTTCTTTTCCGTGTGGTGGAATAGGTTTTTTTTTCGTGCATGTGAAATGTTTTACGCGGCGCGCGCGCGCGCGCGTGTGTGTGTGTGTGTATGTGTGTGTGTGTGTGTGTGTGTGTGTGAGAGAGAGAGAGAGAGAGAGAGAGAA